CCCGCTGGCTGGAACCGAGGGGAAAACCCCGTGTCGGGCGGGGCGGGGGCTGCGCCTCAGCGGGCGGCGGCCGGGAGGCACCGGCACCGTCACGGGGCCTCAGGGCCCTCTCGGCGCGTCTGGGTCGTGTCTGCAACGGCGCAGGGAGCAGGGCTGCCGGGCTGGGGAAGGCGTGGGTGTGCGTATACATACACATGTGGATTATGTATACATAAAACATTACATAAGAAGGGAGGAAGTGTGTATATACACACACACAAATACATGCACTCTGTATATGTGTGTGTATATAGACATGTGGAAGTACACATTTATAGAAGCAGAAGTAGGTTTTTCTTTTCCAGAAAAATCCAATAAAACTATGTGCAATGTTTTTATTTATTTTTATTTTTTGAAGCCCCAGGGTGGAAACTCGCCGCCTGCCCCAGGGTTCAGCGCGAGCGCTGCAGCTGGCCCAGGCCGAGGGAGCTGGGCTTGCTGGGCAGGTCACGCTAAGGACTAGCCGAGTTTTGATAAGTCCTAAATAAATGTGTTGGACTGAGGCAATAGGAGACTGGAACTTTTATATTTCAAAAGTTTCCAAGAAGAAGAAACCTGTTTCCTGTCATGGTTAAGCATCTAAGATGAGCTCTGGTATCAAGTGTCTAGTGCAATATTGAACAACTCATGCTGTCCTTGTGCCTCCATTTTATCATCTATAAAGCAGGGAAAGGTGGGATTTTTCTTTTTGTTATTGTTTTCCTTTTGGCTGCAGATTTAAAGTGTCAGGAAAGTGAAAAATCCTCAAAATTCTGAGCCTGCTGAAATATGGGATGCGACTTCTTTTTTTCCTCTGACTTGGATTCCTTTGCTTTTCAGAGGTGACGTTTCTCTCAAGTAACGGAGCCTGAGAAATCATCCACTGTAGTCTCTATTATCATTTATCTTTAGGAAAAGGCAAAACTTCTTAGAAGTCAACCTGCTAAAATTGTGGAACCTCAAGGTCTCCTCTATATCCAGCAGAGAGAATTTGCTGTGACTACCCCTAAAGATGGTATGTAGGAAGGTAAAGATTCCCACCACCCCCCCCATCAAAACCATATGTATGAGAACAAAGTTCTTACTGTGTTTCTGTCGTTTGTCTTAGGTTCTGTTTCCATCCTTGGCTCAGACGATGCGACTACCTGCCATTTGGTTGTGCTCCGTCACACAGGTACCTTAGAGGATGCTCAGCGCAAAATCCTTCTGTTTGAAGTGATGAATCTCCAATCAGTATTGGTTTATGCTGCATTAATAAAACAAACTGCAGTTAGGCTTATAAAGACTTGAATCTCAAAAAGCTCTTTAATGTATTAATTAAATGGCTCGCTTGGAAGTCCAGTTTATTCACTGTCAGGAGCTCCTGCCAAGTTAATTGTCTCAAGTGACCAGTGGGTAGTGGCAGTATTAGGCCCTGCTCATCTGCATATATAGGATGTGAGGTAGGAGCTGTTAAATGATGGTAGCGTTAACAGCCTCCAACTTTGCAGTTAAGTAACTGTCTTCTTGTGCCTTCCTCAGGTAGCGGAGCTACCTGCCTGACACACTGCGATGGACTGGACACCGAAGCCGAGGTATCGCTCATCATGAGCTCAGTAAAGTCTCTCTCTAACACGGCAGAATGTGGAAGGTCAGTTCTGCGCTTTTATTTCTTGTGTGCAGTTTTTCACAACGGTAACTGCAGTTCGTAAGATGGGGAATTTTGAATATGATCATATGGGGCTCAGACATGGTAATTGCACAGGAAATCTCTCTTGATCGGGGGCCCTGTGACAAATGAAAATCATTTCCTTGATGATTATTTTGAGGGAATTTTTAGCAGTGTCTTAAAGTATGGTTCTACTCCGAATAGTGTCTCTGTAAAAACACCATTGTTGGGTCTCACGTTTACTGTTTCACAGTGACTTTCATTTCAGATGTGCCCAACTTTCCAAACAGATACTTTGGGTTCTATATTTTATTTTTCCTTATGGACTGTTGGTTTTGTAAACACTTTTTGGGATCTGAGAATCCGTATGGGATTTATCTAGCTCCTGCATTTAAAAGAAAAATCCCCCAAAACAGAATCTTCCTGGCTTCTTCCTGGCTGTGCAGGAAACTTGACATTTGTAGTTTGATATGAGCAAAAACTCAGTGAAATTGGATAATACAGTCTCTAAAAGCTCATGATTTGGGTTCCCCAGTTTTGAAATGCTCAACTATGGAATGGCTGCCATATGATATCTTCTCACTTGCTTTGTTTCTTGTTGGAGACCTGCCCCCCAAAACAGATTGTGGTCCCAGTCATCTTTTCTGGAAGTTTGGCCAAAAGATGCATGAATGAAACTATCTTTACATGGACACTTCTCAGAAAAGAACCTTGTGGTCTGAGATAGTTGTAAGGAAGCCACTGGAGCGAGTTACTTAACTAGCCCTTTGCTGGTAAATGAAAGATGAACCTGAGATGCTGACAATTGGAGGGACCACTAGGATAGATGGAATTGCATGTATGTAATGCTCCCTAAAGCTCTTAATTTGTGCTGTTTCCTGGGTGATTCCTGGAGTGTTGAGAACAGAATTACTGACAATAATTTGCAATATAATGCAGATGAACATGGTGCATGCGTCTGTAACAAATGAAGCTGCTTGAATGATTGCTTTGCAGTTTGGGCTGGGGATTATTTTGTAAAGCTGTTTACTTTGGGATGTTTTTTTAACTGCTGTTTCCTGTTATTCCATCTCTGTTAGGCTGGAAGTGCACCTAGTTGGAGGTTTCAATGATGATAGGCAGTTATCACAAAAACTTACTAATCAGCTTCTTAGTAAGTTCACGTTTTTTCCACTCTCGTGTCCAAAAAAAAAAAAAAAATTGTTCTGACTGCATTTGGGCAAAATTTAATTGTAATCTGAACCTCCTGTCACCTAAAGGAAAGAAATCTGGATGTGTTTTGGAGGTGCTTTCTTCCTTGAGAACTTGGCGTGGAGGGGGGTTGGACTTGTGAGGCTTGTGTATGGCCAGGATGGGGAGGGAGGGTATTTACTTGGCAATTTGTGGCTTATGTTTTAGTACAGAATTGGAGTGCAGTGAGCTGGGCTTGATTCCTGGCCCTGCTGGTGCAATACTGCGTGACTTTGGTCGAGTGGTTTGTCTGTCATTATTTAAATCCATCCGCGTGGGTGGTTTGGTTGGTAACGATTCATTTCATCTCTTACCATCTGTGATGGAATTTAATTGTGGCTTGAAATTGTCTGATGAAAGATGTTACGTCTGTGTGAAATGTGTGTTCTAGAGAAGTGACTGGAGCTTTACAACTCAATGGGCAATGTAAGGTACTAGCCTAGTCACTTGAAGTGTTCTAACCTGCTCTAATCAAGTGTGAGGAGGCCTTGGCCACCACTGCTATTGGGAGGGGGCAGGGGCAGGTATCAGTTAGTGGGGAGGGGGCAAAGGATGATAAACACAGGTTTGAGGGAAGGAAAGCAAGTGTGAAACATTCCGAGATGCGTCCTTGTCATCCTGTCATCCAGTGTTTCCTATTGTGTGTGTTATGTTGTGTGATAGTTTTCTGCAGAATAAAGTATTTTGGTTTTTAAGTTATTATTTTAAATTTTCCAATTTCCATGTACAAAATTTACACAATTCCTATTAGAAGTTCAAAAAATATTTTTTTTTGTTCTGGATGGTGAGGAGAAATAAAATCCCTTTAATGAAAGACGTGGTTTGTTCGCTATATATTTAACATTTTGTGAAAATATGTTTAAATGGCAGCTGTTAGGTATATAGTGAACGAAGGGAGAGTTCATGTGATGCCAGAGCTACTTTAAACAAGCACCAGTAAAAGAAATAAGAGGAACAATACTTTGAGCATTTTAGTTGCCATTGCAAATGACAGCTCTGTAAATTACTGTTACATGCAGTAGCTGTGGCTTTATGTTAGAGAAGTTAGTTTGAAACACGTCTGCAACGTACGCTGCTGCACTGCCTGCAGCAGCAGCAGTGGTTCTGGCAGCCTTAGTGCCCTGCCCGCGTCCTCCGCCGTGCGCAGCACTGCTCATGCCCCACGTTTGTGTATGGCACCTGCTTTGCCACCAGCCAGTTTTATACATTGCTGCTATCGTTGTTGCTGTAGGAGCGTTTGATCTCCAACCAGATGATGTTCATTTAGTGACTTTCTGCGTAACAGGTAAGCAGACGTTTCCTTGGTTTCTGGAGTATTTCAGCCACTGAAATCAAAGGTGCTTTCCAGGCACTTTCTCTCTTCTGTGAGGAAGAGCAGTATGATTCCTCTGTAATGATTTGTTGGTTTTAAATTGTTTCTGCTGGAAATATGTGGTGATGTCAAATGGGAATCTCTCTTCTTACTGCTGGCTACCTGTGATCATTACTGGATTATTTCACCTCCTTTGTCCTGCGGAAAGACACTGTATGTCTGCCAAATCTTGAGAGGCAACTGAGGAAGGAACATGCCAACTCTTGATGTTAGACCTTCCTTCCCGCAGTTTTGAATGAGTTTGTAGCGTGTGAAGCTGCATGAAGGCAGAGATAACTTTCTTGTATTGCATCTAGGCCATGATATTTCTATCATCTGTGCCTTCTGTCAGAGTTGGTAACTTGCATCTTTCAAATATGGCATCATGGAAGTTCTGTATTTTGTGTTTTTACTTCCTCATAAAGCAAGACCAGAGTCTTTTCCCGAATCTTATTAGAGTCCTACGCGAACTCCCAAGAATGTTGATTCTGATCTGTCCCTTCTCTTTCCATATCTCATTTAGGAGATGGGTAATTTTGCTAAGTAGTAGCACTTGCATAACCTCATTTTTTGATGTGGCTAAATGGTGAGGAAATAGGAGCTGCTTCATATCTTTAGCATATTTTGCTCTATTGAGATGGAATCTTCTATACCTGCTGATTAGGTTTTCATCTTCATGACCCACTCAGAGTGAAAATGTAAACTATTTTGCATTTTTGCAGGATTTCTCAGTCTTTTTTTTTTTGTTGTTTAATTCAACCTTATGTATGTTTTTCTTTAATACATGCAATGTTTTCTTTTCATCCATGAACAAAATGAATGCCTTGGGGGGAAAAATCGTATGGGTCTGACAGTGTACAACGATTTTTTTCTTTTTTTCTTACAGAACTAAATGACAGAGAGGAGAAGGATATTCACTTTCCAATCATTTATGGAATAGGTGAGTTAAATTGTTAAGTTTTGCAATGGGATTGCTTTTCAAATTCTGAGAGTAAATGGGTTGTCTGTAATACCTAGCTAATCCAGTCTAAAAGTACTGTCAAAAGAACACTGAAAATAAGTAGAAATATACTATTGTAGGTGAAGACGTGTGGGGTACTGAGAAATACAGAAATACTATTTGATAAGTTCTAGAACTTAACATTTGCTTCTGCTTATCTGAAATAGAGTAGTGTTTGAGTTACGGGCTTTTTAAGTGATTTGGAAGAGTTGATAATTCTTGTTCTTATATTGTTATTTTCTGCTAGCTGTAAATGTTAAAACAGCAGAGATTTTTCCTGCAACCTTTCCAGAGAAAGGGCCCGATGAGGATTTGCGTTCAGCCCACATCTTAACAGGAGCAGCGGTAAGTCAAATAAAACCGAAGCAAATCTGGGCTTCTTATTACCTTTGAAGGGGGCAGTTTAATTTCCTTAATCCTATATATCCAGTACTGTGACTTTGTTGGAATGATTGGCAAACCTTAATGGCTAAGCTGGCAATGAGTACATCTGGGACAGAAACTGCTGCTGACTTGCAGATAAAGTGAATGTGCTCTCTTCTGTATAAACAGTTATCTAATATTGAGGTTCCCTGCAATCTGTTCTGTGTCACTGCAGTTGACTAACATTTATGATGCAAAGATGGAACAACTACGTATAGGACCTTATTTCTGGAGGCCTTTCCCCCATGTGGACTTCTGGCTGGAACAAGATGATAAACAGATCTTACAGGTAACTTTAACTTAAGCTTGTATTTATCTATTTTAATCTTAGTTGAATGAAGAGATGAATATAGCATGTGAAATCCTTAGGGGAAGGGTGGAAAATAATCTTATTAAAAGCCAGAATAATTCAGAAATTAATATTCTGAAACTTAAACATCTCTTGCTCCTGTCTTGTTTTTCAGAACCTTTCCACATCGCCACTGGCAGAGCCACCCCACTTTGTTTCCCACATTAGATCTACATTATCATTTTTAAAAGAACACCCCTTTCCCTCTCATTCCCTGTTTCCTAATAGGAAACCTCGCATCTATAAAAAGAATGAAGAAGGCTTGTGGGAACAGGTTTGTTCTGACAAGATGTAACCTGGAGATCAACACTAGCCCTTTTAGGGAGTGTAACCTTGCCAGAAGATCAATTTCTTGTGCAAAAAACCCAAAACGTATTTCTGGTAAAAATGATGGCTTTTCAAAATAAAGTTATTTTGTGAGAAGAATATGGCTTTATCTGCACTACTACTTTACCATAAGGATTTTTCTGTTGGTTTCCCATGATCTTGGGTGGGGTGTCTCTCTCTCATTTTGGTGCTGGCACGCTCTCCCCTCATCTTGAAATACTTAATAGCAATAATTACTTACGTTTACTAATATTATTAAAAATGTTAACATTTTTCTTCTTTCAAAACTTAAGCTGATTTGAGGGAATAATTCAAGACATTTCTGTCAGTCAGAATCTACATCATTGATTGGTGATGTTGGGTCAGCCTTAATGAATTGTATCAAACCTGCAGCCACCCTGACCTGGCTAACATCAGTTCATGTATTGAGTCGCAGAAGAAACTTGGAGCTGGACTGCCACTCAGTTTGACAAGGCAGTAGATTAAAGTTAGGTGTAATCACTAAAAATCTCCATTTTGGAAGAAAAAACAGAAAAAGCTACATTTCCTTCTCACTGTTCTTACAGGACTATGATCAGTCAAACCAGGGCCAAGACAGGCTGCAGCTCTAAGTCATTCTTCATGATTGTTTAATAATTTGTCCAATTTAGCATAGTTGTGTAATAATACAGTTTTCAAAACTCTGTTTCAAACTGAAAGGTTGTAAGGGGAGAAGTAAGTGTTTCTCAAACCTGTGCTTTATGTTTGTATTTCTCCATACTGCTGGGCAGCAGCAGCACCTCCCTCCTCAGCTGCTCCTTCATCCTCAGTGAGGAAGCTCCTGCTGTTTGAAGCCAGGCTCTGGTGCAGGTGGAGCTCCGTACTGTAGCAGGCCCTCGGTGGAGCAGCTGCATTCTTTCTGTTGCTCTAAAATCATTCACTTAGCATAGATCAAGAGATGGAGCAGTGCTGAGAAACTGAAAAAATTAAAGTCATTATGGTGATTTTTTTTCCTTTTAGAAAAAAGCTTTCTACACAAAGCAAAAAAAAAAATGTTGCCTACACTTTCTCTTTAGTGACATTTAGCAAAACTTTCTTGTAGAGTAATTTAATTCAAGAGTTATAATTTGAAGAATCTTTATTGAAACATTTAGGCAGTATCTAAAGAATGGAGCTCATTCCAACAAACCTACTGCTTTAACAATTCCAAATATAAAAACATTAAAAATTTATCTTTATGGTGATAAATTTATCCCCAACAGATTACTCTATTAATATACTTCATTGCACCAAAAGAAACTGATAAGGAAGACCAGTCAACTTCATTGTTTTTGCACTTAGAAAAATTGCACTCTGATTAACATAAATTACCCCAACAGCAAAATTAATCAGGTTTAAACCTTCCCAGGCCCATGGATTCTAGAAGCTGAAAGTCAAGTTAGGTGACATACAATAAAAAAGAAAAATCTTTTAGATTATCGGAGTAAATCCTGCTACTACTACAGCTATTGGGATGTTGATTTACATATTGGGGGGGATGATGGAGATTAAAAAACATTAAAAAAAATCAAATCAGGTTACTGTACTTTCAGTTCTGTTAGGGGGTGGGACTCAGGCTTTTTCCCAAAATCGGATGCCTCGGAGAAAGCAAGTTTTTCCTAAGATTTCTTTACCAGAGGAAACTATTGCAAGCTCTGAAAACTTACAGCAAAGTATCTAAGAGGAAAATAATTTAGTGAGGAACAAAGACTTCTACACTTTAGTTTTTGATTTAGTCAAAGATTAAATTGTGCATTAAACAGTCCTAGAGATAATATGAACTTGTGCAGTAGTGTAACCTATTTAATCTCTTTGAATCTGTACAAGTCCTACCATAGGTAAGTTACTATTGTTCAAAAATAAGTGTTGACCCATTACAAATGTATTGGTTTTCCAAGCTTTACTAACAAGTATCTTTAAAAATACACAACAGAAAAAGACCTCCAGTTACACCTTATAAATGCGTCCGGTAAAATTTGGTTTAGAAAGGACGTGCAAAGGAAAAAATAATGAGGTACTGATGATTCCTTTCAGGGGTAGAAGCAAGAAGCCATCTAGGCATGCAGGAGCACTAGTGCTTTCTAAAAGCTTACACCTCAGTAACTTGGTCCTCGCTCTATCTAGGCCCATAGCTCGATGGGTCAATTCATACAACAGAAAGGAAGAGAAATGGCTGATGGAAAAGTAACTGTTCAGTGACTCATTCATACACAGGTATCTATCCTTGCTACTAACTGCACCACAACTGTTTGGCAATATACTTTATAAGAGTGTAAAAAGAAGCAAACCAGTACAATTAAGTAGAGTTTTGCAATAGAGGCCAAACTGATTTTTAAATATAAAAAGGTGAATAACAGAGTTTTCTTTTTTAAATATATTCACATAAAATAAGATCATTTTACAATTGTTGAGTGCAGTTGTAGGCTTAATCTTGTGTATGGCTGATCAACTTGTTAGCAACTATCATCATGCTTAGAATCATACAGGAACTTTAACTGCCAATCCTTGACAAATCTCTACACGCAGTTAATGAATCTCACTATGACTTTGGTGATACGACATATATAGGATAAAGCAACTGTAACAAGTGGATAGTAAGACAAGTCTCTGTCCCATTGGAGGATAAATTCTATATTTGTGCAAAATCCCAGTTAATAAGTTACAGTAGTTGTTACTGTACTAGTGTGTGGCACTGTTCACATTTTAAATGCATCAATAATTAACACCCTGCCTACCAGGGCATATGGTTTCTTTACAAAGTCTCAAAGCGGGAGTGTGGGTTTTATCTTTGACTGCCTTGAGGCTCTGCCTGCACGCAGGCGCCTGGTGATTTGTTGCTTGGAACGGTGTCACTTTCTGTAGCTGCCACCGGTGCGGCCGCCTGCTGCTGCTCCTTCCATCCTGTGTCTGGCCGCCCTTGTTCGTGGCCAGGAGAGAGAACAGGGGGTCTCTGCTCCATCTTCTCCAGGTCGTCACAGTGGCTGACTGAGCTGGTCTCACTGAATGCATCAGAGCTTCTTAAAGACCTTTTAAAAATTTTTTGACCTGTAAAAAGAAGACAGTTTAGGAATACAGTTGAAGAACAGGGCAAGACAGTAAACGCAAAGTGCAGTGTAGACAAGTTGCATTTTGAAGAACGCAGATAAAATTAACAGCTGCAAAGAAACAGGTTTTATTTGCGTGCTAACTTGCACCTTATATGTAAATACTTGTTCACAATTACAGTTACCTATGCAAGTCAATAGTCTCTGCTACTTTATCCTGTGTAAACAAAGACTTGGTTCAATTTCAGATGAAAAACAGGTTGTTCGCATGCACAGTCAAATTATTTTACATTTAAAAAGTTACAGCAGGATTGTTATTCCCTGGAAAAATTTCTGGTAGAAAATTTACTATCCCAGACAGAGAGCCAGCAAGAAGTAAATGGTAAGTTAAAACAATACAGCTTCTCTCCCTGCCAGGCCTATAGTAATTACTAATATCACTATAAATAAAATGTCATATATTGAATAGCTTTTCACCCCAGAATGACTTTGCCTATCACATACCACCTAGCAACAGAAATGCAGTTGCTCAAATACATGCATATTCATTATTTGTTTACCTGCTAATTTCTAAAAGTCAATAATCCTGTATTTAATATTCATGACTCACATTATGACATTCAGTTTCATACAATATTCCTGAGGCAGATTCTAGACTTCAAAGGCAATTGTTAATGCAGGGAGTAACAACTTCCCATCATCTAGAAAGAATCCTTGGGGAAACAGATTGGGCTGTTGTCCCATGCCAAATTTAAATTAAGGATTTAAGGTGTATTTCAGTTCCAAATATTATGCAAGATGGAGGACCACACTGGTCCGCCTGTATCATCTAACTTGGATTTGGGCTGGGGCAGAAGGCTCTGGCAATTCCGACACGCGAACACAGGGCAGCAGCTCACCGGGAAGGCGCTGCTTGGCGAGGGTGGAGGTCGGCGTGGGCGGCGGAGTGGTGCCCGTTCCTTGCGCTTTGGATACGTATGTGGACTCGGTGGATTCCAGAGAGCCTGTGGGGAAAAACAGTGCAGAAGTAGTAAACTGAATGTAACACCAGCCTTTCATCTGTATTTGAAAGGTACATAGCAGTCAATGAATCAAAACCCAAAAGGGAGGAAGGAAGGTTGCTTGTAACACAGACAGGCTACTGCTCTAGAGAGGGCAGACATTTTTCTGAGTTTTCTGACTCTAGCACACACTATTTCAACAGGCAAACTGGTACTTTACCAACAGGGCACTAGTTAGGTGATAGAGAAATTCAGGATTTCAGACACAGAAATCACGTTCAAGTAGCACAGCAAAACATCTGAGTGACACTTTGCAAGCTCTCTCAAGCAAACACACATGCACGTACATGGAGGGAATATTTTAAGACTGGAACACTTGCCACAGTGCAAGCTTATATATAATTTATGAATATGGCATAAATCTCAAATAATATACACTTTTGCAGAGTATGTATCTAAAGGTACATCTATATCTTCAAGATATATCAGAGATATATCTAGAAGGCATATAATGATTTCTTTCTTAATAAAAGATAATGTCTAATAGATCCTTTGGAATGTGATTCTGTATATAGGAACAAAACGTTAACTAGGCCACTGCGGTTAGAAGATATTTCTCATCAGATGCTAGAGAAGTGGTGAAGAGGTTGTTCTTGCACATCCTGAGGGTGGATTATGTCACTCATGCACAGATCAGCCCAAGCAAGTCTGTTGCAATTTTAGTATAAAATTGGAAACATTTAGAATGACAGCATAAGATGGCTGCAGGTGCACTTAGTCCTACCTGCTGTTAAATTAAATGTTCTTCCCTTCGGTGAGGCTTGAAAGGGAGAAAACCAGTTCAGCACCGAGCTTACTACAGGAATTTGTCGCAACAGTCCCTGCAAAGTACACAAGGGAACAATGTCTGGTGAACGAGCTCCTTGTGTTGGCACAAGTTAACTGCAAGTTACCTAAACAACAAATTTTTAGACCTTTACCTCTTCCAGAAGTCGTTCTTCATTGGCTTTCTGCAGCTGAAGTTGTGCTTCCTGTATCCCTTTTCTAACAACTTCAGTCATGTTTTCCAATAGCTAACAAATAACACAAGTGATATATAGATTATTTGGACTTGAAACTGTCTTTTCAGTTCTGGATTTGAAGATTTAAATACATTAGCCAATTTTCTAAAATATAATTTTAAAAATATACCCAGAGGATAGAAGATAATTTTAACAGAGATGGCACATATTTTTCTTTTACTTGGAAATGACCCTTTAACCAATTCCTCTAAGCACGAGTGAGCACATAAATGTGCCTCAGGGTCCACTGAAATTGACTGAAGAATTTTTAGCTTTATCACAGGTACAGTTTTATATACAAAAAAAGTGCTGAAATACAATGATACATACTCGTGAATTTTCTTCAATTTCTCTGCCTGTTGCCGCAATAGTTTCAACCAACTCAGACACATCCAAATCCTCAGTTACCATGCCAATATAAACACAATTCTTCTCCCCTCCAAATTCTGGGCCTGTGAACAAAAAGAGAAGTTTGTAATACACAAAACTGCATTTTCACAATAGGCACTATGTGCACATGGGTACATGTGTTGGCATATGTGCAGAAATCCTTCTGCCCTCCATCATGCACTTTAGGAATTAAGTGCAATATCAGCATATGTCTAAATTATGCAAACCATAAAAGTCGAGTCCTGTGGGTCTTAAGGGAAAAAGGAAAAATCACCTACATCTAATCAACAAGAAGAGTTGATATTTAATACAGACAAAGACTTACAGAGCAAAAAACGGTATTAAAAATCCCTGATTCCTTTTCTGTATCTACCAGTTATTTGGTTTCACATTTCTAGGGTACTTGAACAACTTTCGAAAGCTGAATAGAAAGGATCAGAGTTATGAGAAAGCAAGATTTTTTTTTAGACCTATATTGTGACATTATTTACCAATTACCATTATTTGGATGGGAGATCATTTTTGAAAAAGTACAAATAAGCTTTGGTAAGGTAACAGAGCTAGTAAGATGACTCTTAGCTTGAATGCAAGTTTATTAAATAGTGTAGTTACCCGAAGAGAAAGCCAGATCCGACTCCAAGTCATTTAGTTTTTTCAGAAGTTCTGTGTTAATTTTTTCTAGTTCCTTTTCTTGTTTGTCATCATTCTTCCCATCACTGTGATAGCTGTATCTTCAAAAGCCAGAAGACAGTAATTTCACTTTACAGAACATACAAAAATATGCAAACAGATGTGCACACCAAGCATGCTTCCATAAACTAACCTACTCTATGAAACCAAAAACTGAGCGCAAAGATTGTTTAGATTAAGAAGTT